GTTGGCCCTCCAGAGGAACTGGCTGGCCACTGTGTGAGATGGGAGGCCGGACTAGATGGACCCTCACTGGTCTGATCCAGCAGGGCTCTTCTGATGTCCTTATCAGAGGAAGGCCTCGGCCTCTCTGCCCTGTTGCTGGCCCTCCAGAAGAACTGTCTGGCCACTGTGTGAGATAGGAAGCTGGACTAGATGGACCCTCACTGGTCTGATCCAGCAGGGCTCTTCTGATGTCCTTCTCAGGGGAAGGCCTCGGCCTCCCTGCCCTGTTGCTGGCCCTCCAGAGGAACTGGTTGGCCACTGTGTGAGACAGGATGCTGGACTAGACGGACCCTCACTGGTCTGATCCAACAGGGCTCTTCTGAGGTTCTTCTCAGGGGAAGGCCTCGGCCTCTCTGCCCTGTTGCTGGACCTCCAGAGGAACTGGCTGGCCACTGTGTGAGACGGGAGGCCGGACTAGATGGACCCTCACTGGTCTGATCCAGCAGGGCTCTTCTGATGTCCTTATCAGGGGAAGGCCTCGGCCTCTCTGCCCTGCTGTTGGCCCTCCAGAGGAACTGGTTGGCCACTGTGTGAGACGGGAGGCTGGACTAGATGGGCCCTCACTGGTCTGATCCAGCAGATGTTCTTATGATTAAAGGGAACCTCCACCTTCAGAGGCACTAATCCTCTGAATTCCAGTGCCAGGAGGCAACATCAAGGGAAGGCCTCGCCTCTCTGCCCTGTTCTTGGCCCTCCAGAGGAACTGGTTGGCCACTGTGTGAGACGGGATGATGGACTGGATGGACCACTGGTCTGGTCCAGCAGGGCTCTTCTGGGGTTCTTATGATAAAAGAGAACCTCCACCTTCAGAGGCAGTAATCCTCTGAATCCCAGAGCCAGAAGGCAACATCAGGGGAAGGCCTTAGCCTCTCTGCCCCGTTGTTGGCCCTCCAGAGGAACTGGCTGGCCCCTGTGTGAGACAGGATGCTGGATTAGATGGGCCCTCACTGGTCTGATCCGGCAGAGCTCCTCTTATATTCTTAACACACAGTCTCCTTCTGATTGACAGGAAGCAAAGACTGGAGAGGTCCCATCCCCGGTCAGCTTCTCCCTCACTGAGCCCACCAACTCAGGTGGCTGGGCATCATTTCAGTCTGCACACAAGGGGGCAGATACCATTTTGGATGCTCCCCGCAAGTAGAAATGTAGCACCTCAAGGTCTGGTTCCCCCCTCTCCCCCTACCGTTCTACCTTCCTACTCACAAGGAGCTCCTCTTCTCGCAAAGGTCTGCATTCAAGAACGTGACGTGCATTTAGAGCGCATGGCCCACCTGCGTCCTGGGCCACGCGACCCACTGCGGTCTCATTCCGCCGCAGCACATGTTGGCCAGCTCTTTGCCCTTCAGTGCTGGGAAAGAGGAGGAGCATTCCGGGTCGCTGCACAGAAACCTTTGTTTCTTCACTTCGCCGGAAACTGTTAATGTGTAAACATGAGGTTATCCTATAAGGACGATCACGCGGGAGGTCTTTTATGAGACCCTCTCCCAAACTACTGTGTCTTAAAACAATTAAAATAATAAAAGACGACTCGTGGGCTGCTAACGTTTAACTTGGCAATCTTTACGTTCCTTTTTTCCCGTTTCCGTCCCCAAAGGAAAAGGGTCAACGAACGGCACTATAAGGTCAGAAGTAAAAAATTAACCTGGTCGAATGCTGGAATTATTTGTTTCCAGTTGTCCGATGTTTTCTTTGGCAAAGGTTGACATGACAGCCAGAAGAACTGGCCGGTTCCCTGATTCTGGCGCACTCCACACCGCTTCCTTAAGTGTTCAGGGGCGTCTTCACAATGGCTGTGAAAGGGGGGGGGGTTCATATAGGCAGTTCCTGCCCATCTGTGTCCTACAGCTCACATACGGCCCTTACTGGGCCCTCCTCCACCATATCTCTTTTGGGGCCACACGGCAAATATCTCAGGATTCCCACTTGGCGCAGGAACAAAGGGACCTCATTTCTTCAGGAAGCACAGCTTTTTCTTCTTTCCGCTCTGCAAGAAGTCCTGAGCGGGTCTCACCTCAGTTCACCTCGTCCCCAGCTGTTTCTTTACAGCTGCTAATGACACGGTAGTTTCGGTTGTATTGTTTTCACAAGGGGAGGTTTTATGTTCTCGGTCATAACAACAGGGTACCTTCAAAACAAAAGAGAAACTTTGATGAGGCTCAGAATGTGTCCCCTGGAAGGGGAGGGTCCGCTTGGAACAAAGGGACCTCATTTCTTCAGGAAGCACAGCTTTT